AAGATAGCCTCTTTAATAAATGGTGTTGGAAAAACTGGATCTCAACCTGCCAAAGATTAAAACTAGACCCTTATCTCTCACCATGCACTAAATTAAAATCCACGTGGATTAAAGATCTAAATATTAAAACAGAAACATTGAACTTGCTGGAAGGTAAGTTAGGCAGAACTCTGGAAGACACTGGCATAGGAAAAGAGTTTATGAACAAATCCTCAGTAGCATGGGAACTAGCAGCAAGAATCAGCATCCGGGATCTCATTTTATTAAAAAGCTTCTGCACTGCAAAAGAAACCATCAAGAGAACTAAGAGACAACCTACAATGTGGGAAAAATTTTTACTAGCTGCTCCTCAGACAAAGGACTATTATCTAAAATACATAAAGCCTTCCTGTTCTAATGCACACTTCGCTGTCTACTTGAACACTGAAGAAATCCTCTCCCAAGAGTTCACCATCAGACCAAACATAGGGAGGCAGCGCTGAAAAGCAAAGCCCAGCAGAGCCCACAGTGCTTCTGGTCTGGTGCCTGCTGGCCAGGAAATACAGTGTGATCAACACACCTCACTTAAAATGTTTCTACAGAGCCACACTTCAAAAACAGGCAGTTACTGTTAACAGCGCAATAAGGATAGATAGATAGATAGATAGATAGATAGATAGATAGATAGATAGATAGATAGACAGATAGATTGATTGATTGATTTGTTTCAAAATATGATAATGGTAAAAATCACTGATACATTTACAATTTTTTAATACCTAAGGATTTAAAATCTGATGTGTATTCTACATTTATGATACTTCTTGAGTTAAAGCAGTCGCCTTTCAAACGTAGACACAAGCTGCTCCTGGCATCTGTGTTGGAGTACACAGGGAGAACACAGGGAGAAGCCAAGCAGGAAGCCAGCAGTAAGACACAGCACGTTAAGAGCAGCGACTGGAAGGCATATGATGCAGCATGCAGGAGGGCATCTCAGCTCACTCAGGTGGGGCTGGAGGAAGTGACACCTCAGCTAAGCTCCTAAGGATGAGCCAAACTAGTCAGAGGAAATGGCAGGGAGCAGGGCAGGGCTATGAAAGAAGCAGGAAGGTCAATCTTCCAGGCAGAGGTGCCTCTAAGGCCTGCAGGTGGGTGACTGCAGTATGCCAAAAAGACGGCAAGAACTTCAGCAGGGCTGGGACAGAGAGGCTTCATGGGCAGAGATCAGGCTGGGAGGATGGAAAGGCTAAAGCTAGATGAGCTATACTAGAGGTGCACAAGGTGGCGTTCTGAATCAAATGCACCTTTCATGACATTTCCTATTCAGATTTCATGATGCTAACTTTTCAGCTCTAACAGCAGAGGAATAAAATTATGCTTAATGAAATGTGATTTGTCATTTATAAGTGATTTTTGGAGGGAACACTATGCATAATACCATATAAATTTTAAATGTTTATATTAAACTTCTGGATGTAGGTGTAACGTGTAGCAGAATGAAGAGTGATTCTACTGGCCATTTTGGAATTACACATTGTTTGCAAAATTACTGTGATTACAAGTGCTGTATTCCAACTTAGGGCTCCAGATCTGTCTTTTGGAATTCTCACAATATGTAATAGCACTGGAAATGCAATAGTTTATAGTAGCAAAAAGCACTACAACACCATCGTGCCATTTATTCAGAGTTTTACTGATTTCAAGTGTGGTGGCTGGTCTTCTTTGTCCAACCAGATGATCAGATTCTGGAAAGTAAGGCAAGTGTTAGATCTGTCTGTCTACTTACTTGAATTTTAATACGTGCCAGGAACTGTGCTGGAGTGCTTGACAGTCTTGAACACATTAAGATGACTTTATTAGAACCAGAAAAGACATTTATGTATTAATATGTATGTCCCTACATATTACACCCTGCCCAAATACATGCTATTAGATAAAGATACTGTGTAGGGATATTACTGAATCCAAACCTCATGAAGGTTCTGCCTGATAACTTGTGTCTACCACGCACACTTCTGTCAATGTGACCTGACTTGGAAACAGGACTCTGCATATGTCACAAAGTTAAGACGCAGGCACACCGGGGGAATCCCTGGTAAGCAGTGGTGTCAGAAGGGGGAAATTAGGACACAAGGAGACGGCAAAGTGAGAGCGCTGAGAGACAGTGGAGACAGAGACAGGAACATCTGCGAGCTACCAGCAGATAAGAAGAGCATCCACAGAGGTTCTCCTCCAGTCCTGCTGACGTGGTTACTGTACACTTCAGCCCCTGAGTCTGAAAGAATATCCTTCTGCTGCTCCAAGCCTCCACGCTGGGGGTACTTTGAATGGCAGCCCCAGAAACCAACGCAGGGGTCATCTCTCATCTCAGCGCCCCGTCTTTCCTCCATAGTCACTGTCTAGTGACCTCCACTCAGCACAGCTGACAAGTCTGCCCTTTTCCCTGTGGGCAGAGCCATGCTGCCCCATTAACCTGCAGTGCTAGTCCTGTGGAAAGTGCCGGTGTGTGCAGACCTCAGCACTTTCTACTGTTAGGACACAGTTTAACTGAGTATTTCATAATTGATGATATGTGACCGTAGGAAAGAAAGCTGCTGCTCCCACGATAAAAAAGTAAGGTGGAAACCATTGATAAACAGAAATGAAGTGTGGGTGAGGCAGTTACAAAAAGGCTGCACGGAACTCATGAAGATCTAAAAAAATGTCCTCATTAAGATTGCTTTGCAAGTATCTTTGAAGTCGCACTTCATTTACTAAAGCTGTACGCAGTGACCCCAGCACAATGATGTAATCACAGCTTGTGTACGAAAGGGCTTGCGGGGCTGCCATCAGGGCCCAAGCACACACGGTGTAAAAGGGCACTTGTGTCAGTTTCATAGTTCTCTGATTCTCCCAAGAGTTCGCATTATCCTTGGAGTCCTAACTCCAGGTGACAGGAAAGAAGAGATTTCTCCTGTAAGTAGCTCTGTAAACTGCTTCTATTCGGGGACTTGCCTGCATGGTCTATCATCAGTGGGGCACACTGAGCTGTACCTGATTCGCTTCCCAATCTGCCCTTCAGGCTCAGTGCTTCATACACAGCAGCCTCTCCCAAAATGTTTTCTTTCTTAAATGACCACAAAGAGGAAACATTATTTTCTGCTTTCCCTTCTTCAAAAAAATCATATCCTAAAAAAAAGTTGTGTTATTATGGGCTCAGACTGAAGGCATAAGAAAGATTTGCAGAGGACTCAATGTTAAGGGCATTTGCTAAGATGAGGTATAATTTACCCACCTATGAATATTCTCATGTTTACTGTATCACTTGTCATAGCACTGATATGCTTTTCACATCATATTTCTGAAAATAGTCACCACGTCCTTAGGGTACATCTTCACAGGACTCCCCTGTAACACCACAATGCTATTTCCCCAAGTTTACCAATTTGTACCCTGATGCAGAAAAGTTGACTTAATTCCTTAAAGGCAGACTGGGAAGCGAATATGCCTCAGATTCGGATTCCAGATGCTGGGTCAGTCCCAGCCCTGTCACAATCAGGTTGTCACAGTAAGCAAGCCTGGCCCAGACCCTCGCACCCTGGTCAGCAGAGGAGGGTCGGGCGGGCCTCTTGTGCCCACTGGCTCCGCGCCCTCATCTTCAGCACCAGAAAAATCAGATTTTCTTCTGAATAAAAAATGTGATGTCTCACCGCTTTTCTTCTAATGTGGGAAACAAAGAACAGCACACCTAGGTACTTGTAAACAATGACAGAAATGACAAGGAGCAGTCGACTTAGTGAATATGGAATGAGAAGGGAAAAAAATGCTCCCAAGAAGAAAGGTGAATTTCGCATCAGCACAGAAGTGTCAACTCTTTTTGGGAAACAATGCCAAGAAATATTTGATGTCCACAGGATCTATAAGAATGAAAGGAACACCAGTGCTAAGTTGGAAGGTCTGTGGAGTACGCAGCTGAAAAAGTGAAAGCCTTAGTCAACCCTTGATATTGCAGAATCTGAAGAGAACATGGCATTATCTAATTGCACCAAAACAACTTCTGTATGAACTCTACATTTTAATGATCTAAATACATTTATAATTTTTACTCCTTCAACTACAGATAACCAGTATCAGGTTCTTTTCAAAATGCTACACAAATATTCCTTATTTTTATTCTTTATTTACATAACTTCATAGGAACTATTGACAAGAAACCTTAGGACACCGTGTGGTTAATACAAAGGACACAGTCTTTCAGATGGCCTGAGAAGACAGACACTTGAGCAGTCAGTCTACTAAGCAGCTACAGGAGTTACACCTTCCCCTTAGACACTTTCATCACAGGACACAGCTGTGAAACAACCCTGGCTTCAAACAGAAAGGTTGTAATACAGTGCCTCCTCGCTACACTGGGGCTGCAGAGGTTCCGGTGTGAACCAGAGTGAGCACAGAGGGCTCCGCTAAGCCCCCGGGCTGACTGGGTTTTGTGGGTGAGCACCTTTTGTGAGTATTTGTGTACAATACATGTATAGACACTGGCTTGTATTTTAGCAGTGGGGTAGTGGCATTCTCTTTTCCCCAAAATACTAAAATGCAGAAATGTGAAAACTCAGAGCAGCAATGTCAAACCTTACACAGCCTGCTTGGCAGCCATGGTGAAGGATCAAGGACTTCCTCTGCTCTTCTCATTCTGCGTTTCACCTCGGTAAGTATCAAGATAAATGACCTCCCTTAAGAAAATTCTACTATTAGCTCACAAACTACGTGTATATTTTAACAATATTGTGTGTGGGAAAGAGGTGTCGGAGGGGAGAAGCCTGCAAAACCAGAAGAAGTCAAACATTATGTGGCCTCCGCAAGGTTCTATCCCTGCGTGATTTTTCAGTTACATATGCATCCCGCTAGGAGTCAGGGGAGATGAATACACGTGTGTGAGTGTGTGTGTGTGTGTGTGTGTGTGTGCGCACGCGTGTGCGTGTGTGTCTGTGTGTCTGTGTTTATGTATCTCTATGCACTTCTTTAGACAGAATTAGTGAGCGTACCTGCTACAACGCTGGCGAGCTGCTGGGTTCTGGTGATGGGGCATGCACGCCGAGCCAGAACGATGGCGGAGGCAATTTTCCGAGCATGCTTCTCCTCCCCGTACCCTCTCAGGATGGACGCCAGCGCCTGCTGATCCAAGGCGTTCACGGCCTCAGCCGCGGTGGGCACGTCAGGGCATCTGCACACAAGGACAGCCGCTTAGTTCCCTGCCGTCAGCTTCCACTGGCAAGAGGTGAGAGAGACTTCAGATCCCGAGGCAGAGTCAGGCATGCACAAGAGCCTGGGAGACCGCTGAGGCTTCCGGGTGAGGGGCTGAGACCTACACAAATGAGGGCAATTTTCTCCTTCAAACACTCAGCACTATGGCAAGGGCAAGGGTTTGGAACCTTTACCAAGGTGGAGGAAGCAGGAAGTTAGAATGTTTTACTACCTTTAATTCATGGAGAGGTTATTAGCGCTTCTGTAGATTTCCTTCAAGCTAAAACAATGGACTTTATGTGGATTTAAATTATTCAAAATTAAATTACTGCTTGATTTTTGTTGTTGTTGTTGTTTTGTTTTAATATGGAAGATACAAGACTCGCCAATGTTATCTGAACAAATCTAGGCCTCAGGAACTTAAGTGAATCTACAACAGTAAAGTAACTACTTGTGGGGTAGCTGAAGACGGAAAGTCTATATGAGAAAATATTGGTGAGTTTGCACTCGCAAAACTCAGAATAATCCTAATGGCAACAGTGTATCTTATATCAAATTTAGCAATACGAGCTCAATCACCCATGGCAAAGGTCACCACGGATTAAACTGAAAATAAACATATGATACTGAACAAGTCTGAATATAAACTCAGATGGAACACGAAAAGAAATCCCAAGCTCTGGCGGTGTGGAATGAATTATAGTAGCAGAGAAGAGCATTCTCTCTATCACACCACTCCAGTGTACTTCAGAGAAAGGGGCCCAGGGATTCTAACTGGTGAGCCAACCATGACCTCACTCAGTAGACAGTCTCGCTTGCAGAACAACTGCTATGTTTATACTGATACACTGGGTTGGTTATTGGTACCAATCAATGCTATGACTTGGAAGTAACAAAGATGTGGCAACTTCAAGACCTAAGGATCACACCAGAGCGGGTCTGCCCAGCACAACCCAAACTCTTCTTGAAAACAGGAAACTCTACCTCATTAATATGCTAGCCTCTTCCATGAAAAATCTCTCCTTCCCTATCTCTCTCCTTCCTATTTCTCTGTGCAATCTTACTTTCGAGATCACCAGTCAGTGTCTCTGTAAAGTAATCCTGATTTCCATCTTAGTGTGCTTTGCTTCTTCAGCCTTTATGATGAGAATCTGTCTTTTACAGAGTTTGACTGATCTAGGTTAGGATGCTCGCCCTGCTCATTTTGGGAAAGCTTTTAAACCATTGGAACCTTTGATTTTTAACATACTGAAAACAGCAGTGCTTACCCCACTGAACTGTTGGGAGAAGTGGCTCTGTAAACCACTGTAAACACACATAGTGTGGTGTCTGACACAAATGAGATGTCCAATGAATTCCAGTGCCCTCATATATTTCCTGGGGATCATGCGAGGCTTCAACGACAAAACTTCTGGTAGAACTCATGTATCTGTGAATTCGGCTGTCCAGTCACCGGGCACTGGAATGAACCTTGCCAACGATGACAGATTTAGACCCCAGCACAGCCAAAGCAACTGTAAGATACTATGGATGTACTCAGCAGTTTTTCATCATAACTTTCTAATATTAAGAAAATTAAAACAACATTTGGATCAAGTGAAAGGCAGACATAATTGTACTCTCATCTTTATATTAATACTAGTAATATCATTATTATTATTATTGAAGAGTAGTTAGAAGTTTTCACAGTGCTATGGGGCCAAAACACATCAGTCTTGACGGGTGGCAGTGGCCAGGTTGCTTTGGAATAGAAACTCATACGGGGAGGAAGCCAAACCCAGACGTGGAGCCCAGCCCCACAGGTTAGGAGGCTGAGATGTGAGAGGCTTCCGCTGATATCACTACACTCACGAGGAGAAACATACACTGACAAAGGCCCAGTTACCATGCTCCAGGGAAGGGTGGGACTTCCACAGGAGCAAACTGGCAAGTCCTCAGACCTGTGAATGCTTTTCTGCTTGAGACGCCTTACTGCAAACTAAAATCCTTGCTGAAATCAAGATCAGAAAGGAATAAACGTCTTTGAAGATGCCAGTGTTGAATGGCGGTGGGCTAGGGCAGCCTGGACATCCATCTGCATCCGGGCATCTGTTCCCCACGAACAGACAGGCCAAAGCTCTCACTGTGGACTCTCTTTGCTGACATTGGCTTAGCATTGTGCATATTTACATTTCTGATTTCCCTCTTCTATGAATTCAAGGGAGTCAACTGTTCTTTTTGAATGCCACACGTTTTCTTCAGCTCTGTTAACATCTCTGATTAGGCTGCTCTGCAAGCTGTCAACTGGGAAGCCATTCATCCTGCTAAGGCCAATTGGCTAAACTCTAACATCATCCATTAGATACTAACTGACCAACGGAGAGGTGAATGCTCAGGGACATTTTTTTTTTTTTTTTTTTTTTTT